GCCGCGGTCTAGGGGAGCCGACCGCGACCTCCGGCTCCGCGGTCCTGCCACCGCTGTGCGGGCACTCGCTCCCTTGCGACGCCTGCCACCGAGCAGAGAAACAAATCTCGAATGTCCAGAAGCAGACCGTGGGTTGAGGGGCTCCCTCTGTGACGGGCTACAGCTGAATGATCTGATGCTTAGAGAAATTAATTTGTTTAATTAACTATGCAGCTATATTAAGATAGGCGACAAAGAAGTGGAGTATCATCCGCACTTCCGTCTGATTCTGCACACCAAGTACTTCAACCCCCACTACAAGCCCGAGATGCAGGCTCAGTGCACTTTGATCAACTTCCTGGTGACCAGAGACGGGCTGGAGGACCAGCTGCTGGCGGCCGTGGTGGCCAAGGAGCGGCCGGACCTGGAGAGCCTGAAGGTACCGGCCCGGCTGCGGAGACGGTAACACAGAGGCTCTGCCCCGGCCTCCCTTTCAGCCAGGCATCCCGGAGCTCCTCCGCGCGAAGGGGGTCGTCTACGGGAAGCTGCGCGAGCCCTGGTGGGACCCTGCCCCTGCAGCGGGCGCTTTTACAGCCACGCGTCGGAGCAACCCCGGCTCTAGCTGGCCGCTTCGCCCTGCAGCGACAGCGCTGCCCCGGACGGGCTCCGACCCCTTCTTGCATCGGCGCTTCGATGACATTATGAAACATTTTTAGTTGTTTTTTTCAGTGACCCATAGCTTAGCCGATCGATACGTTACTGTGTCGTCTAGTGTTGTGTTTATGAAGGGGGGATTTATAGTAATAGCAGAGAAGACAAAGGCAGCAAGGCTGCTGCTGCTCCAGTTTATTGCCTGCTGTTCGTTAGGGAGCTCCCAGCATAAATCACTGCAGCTGACGCCAGAAGTTTTACCTCGCAGGCTCTTGAATGACTCGTGTGTCTCTCATGTGCATTATAGGCAAATCTCACAAAAAGCCAGAATGAGTTTAAGATCAATCTGAAGGAGCTGGAGGATTCTCTGCTTGCCCGGCTGTCTGCTGCATCAGGGGATTTCCTGGGAGACACAGCGTTGGTGGAGAACCTGGAAATAACAAAGCGCACAGCCATGGAAATTGAGGAAAAAGTAAGGAAGTTGCCCATGGCTCCACGCTGCAGCACTGCGGGCACCGGGAGAGCTCTGCCAGACCGTGCGCGGGGTGCCCAGGGCTTTCGAGGGCAGTAGTGGGAGATTAGAGGCTGTTTCAGCACATGCAAAGATGCCGTGGTAACATCTTCCCCCTGCCCTTTCGTGTGTCTCGAGGTGAAAGAAGCTAAAATCACTGAAGTTCAAATAAATGTTGCAAGAGAAAATTACAGACCAGCAGCAGAAAGAGCATCGCTGCTGTACTTCATCCTGAGTGACCTCAACAAAATCAACCCCATCTACCAGTTCTCACTAAAGGTAAACACAAAACAAGGCGCTCATTGATTTTTACGGGGCAGGGCAGGTCTTTGAGGGGATCTTGGCGCGTTGGCGTTTCTGCATTCATGCTTTAATGAAGCACGTAGAAAGGCAGGCGCTGAGCTGCCCGCTCTGGCTCGCCACGTAGGCCTTCAACGTGGTCTTCGAGAAAGCGATCCAGCGCACGATTCCGGCCGACGACGTCAAGCAGAGGGTGATCAACCTGACGGACGAGATCACCTACTCGGTCTTCATGTACACGGCACGGGGGCTCTTCGAGAGGGACAAACTCATCTTCCTGGCCCAGGTCGCCTTCCAGGTAACACAAACAGATGTTCGGGGCTGCTGCTTAACAGTACATGCGAATTTCTGTTATTTTGTACTCGGCGGTCTCTTATGTCCGTGTTACTAAGGGATGCGCGGTAGCTCCCTGTCCAGGGCCCCCTCCCGCAGCGCAGCCCCAGCAGGCTGCTCCTCCGTCCCAGCGCTCGCCCCCGGAGCCGGCAGGGTCCCTGCGGGTGGCCGGAGGGGACAGTCCCAGGTCCTCTCTCCTCGCTCTCGCCTCGCCAGGTCCTGACCGTGAAGAAGGAGGTGAACCCGGTGGAGCTGGACTTTCTCCTGCGCTTCCCGTTCAAGGCCGGCGTCACGTCCCCCGTGGATTTCCTGCAGTCCCAGAGCTGGGGCGGCATCAAGGTCGGTCCACGCGTTTGCTGCGACGCCGCGGGGCGGGAGAGCAAAAGCCGCCCGTCGGACGCGGCGGGCGAGAAGGGGACAGTCCCTGCCGCGGACGCGCGGTGCGAAACGCAGGGCCAGGGAGGCGGCGGGCTGCCTCGGCCGCGCCGACGGGGGGGGGCGGAA